TGGCCGCCCGGAGCCGAGGGGCTAAGATGACACCGTCACTGCCGTCAGGGCGCCGTTGCGGGTGTAGTAGAACTTGCTGAACGCCTCTTCAAGTAAACAGGTGAGTCGGCTCTGGTCGGCCTGCAAAGAACAGCTACAGTGAGGGGACGGCACAGTCCCCGCACAGTCCCAGGCACGTGGGAAGGTTTTTTTTTACCTCCCCGGCTTAAAAAGGAGCGATCTGGCACAAACCATTTAAGCCTGCGGAAGGAACACAGCCCCATATCCCTGCCTGAGCCGCGGGCTCACTTACCTCACTGATGAATCCCAGCTGGACCAGTTCAGCTGCCAGCTCCTGGATGTTGTCATCTACAACACAGGGATGGGGTCAGGCTGAGGTGTGAGCGCACTGCTGGCCCCAGCGCACCGGAGCGCGGGAGGAGAGCTACTTACTGGGCTGCAGGTCACAGCTCAAGTGTCGATTCAACTTGTCTTCCAGTTTCAGCAGCAGGGTTAACTGCAGGGCAGAGAAGTTCTCGTGAGGGACTGCGTGGGGGCCACGGAGAGCCAGGAGCACCCCCAGAAACCCCATTGGGATGGGAACCACCCTCCTCCGCAGCCCCACAGAAGTCCAACAGTCTAACCACAGCCAGTCCCACCGAATCTGGGGCTGGGCTGAAAACACCTGCTGCATGCCAGGTTGGCCACAGGCACGACTCTGGGTCTGGCTTTGGGCCCCAAAGGTGGTGGCAGCTGGGGCATGAGAGGGGGACACTGGGCACCAGCTGGCCTGGCACACCCCCCCCCCAGCACACGCTCAGCAGATGGGGACGTACGTGATGCTTCACGCCCTCCTCGACAGACTCGATGTTGCACTGCATCAACACCACCTGGAACAGAGCAGAGATGCCCCGTGACTGCGGTGCACGGCCCCGCTGCCTCGGGAGGGGGAACAGAGCTCCTGGCTCTCACCTTGCGGGTCTCCACCTCAGCGGGCTCGGGAGTCGGGGTTTTCACTGATGGCGGAGCGATGGGAGATTTCACCACTACCTGCTGGGGCTGCTGGGGGCGCGGCATCCCAAAAGCTGTGAGCGGGTAGATACCATTCCTACAGGAAAGGAGCAGGGTCTGAGGTGATGCCTCTCCAAAACACTTCCAGTCTCACACACAGTTAAAGCTGCCTTTTAAAGAAACCCTCTTACCTTACATCCTCCAGGAACTTGTCCAGCTCCAACGCTGGAGATTGTGAGAAGCTGGAAAAAAAAAAAGAAGTACTGAGGTGAGAAGCCATCTAACAGAACCATCTGCTCAAGTCTCTTTGGATGCAATTTCAAATCGCCGTGTCAGACGATGGCTGGGTCAGTGGGCAGGATGAGTACGGACAGAGGCAGAGCCAAAGGCAGGACAGACTCCAATCTTGCAGGGAGCAACTATTCGTAGAAGCTGAGGATGAGGCAACATTTTAGTGATGGCAGAACAGGTCTCACCACCCTGGAGAGAGTGTCCAATGCAAATAATTATTGCCATGTTCCCAGCAAGGTTTTCACGTTATACCAGACCCATGAAGCCTGTGTCCCATCCCCAGAAGAGCAACGGCACTGCAAAGGCAAGGACCTCTGCAGGGCACAGCACGACCAACCATGTCACTCCAGACCAGAAACTACAAACTGCACCTCGAGATCTAATGCCCTGCCCAAACAGTCCTCACTGGAGTTGAGGATACTTTCATTCTCTCTGTAATTTCTTTCCCAGATGGTTCACTCAGCTTTGGAGCTTCTTAATGTCGTGTCTCAGATGAAGTCTTCCCACCAATTTGCTTTAATCCCCAGCCTCTGATTCCATTGAGCATCCTCCTCGCTGGTGGCTGCGGGAGGACGATGAGCACTGACACCCCCCTACCCCGTTCTGCCACCACTGGTTTCATGTCTGCTGCTCTTCCTCTTTCTCGCCCTCAGGAACACACAGTTCCTCCTGCAGCGACAACAACATCCAGGCTCGTGGTCAGGTCAGCCCCTGATCCGCTCCAGAGCTGCTCGCAAAGGTGTCACTTTGTACATGGACACTGTGCAGGTGACGTTTGAGGCGAGTCACTCTGCCAATGTAACCCTCTGTCGTTACTTGCTCCCGTCTGTCGCCGCACAGCAGCGCGTGCTCAGAAAGCCGGGAATGGTCTTCTCCGGGGGGGTTACTGCACAGGCCTCGCACGGGCAGCGGTTCCTTCTTCTCTAAAGCAAGCTGCGACTGCCTTCTGCACAGCACGGGGAGCGGCCAGCACCAGGACAGCCCACCGCAAGCACCTCATTTCTTCCTGGCTCTAACAGGGAGCCTCGGGCTCTCCTGCTTCACTAACTCCCCAGGAAAACCCAGGAGACTCAGCACCTCGGTCCATCCAGCTCTTCAGCGTCCACTTGACAACAGCTTCCTTTAGACCGGTTGCAACACAAGCTTTGCACAGCCAGCCTTCCCCGTACCGCTGCCTGATGACTGCTCTGAAGGATGTGAGATTATCAGGAGCCTGCAAGCTGCTCCCGTCCTGCCGCGGTCCCCCGAGCGCTGTGCTGCTCCATCCCACCGGGTGCGGGCTGCACACCTGCCGTAGGTCCCGGACCGCTCCCCAGCCCCTTTCCCACACACAGCTGTTACTTTCCCATCCCCAGCACAGCAGCAGTTCTCAGCAGAAGTTTCCCATTTTTTCTAGCAGCTCAGCTTGCCTGGCGCTCTGACAAGTCACCTGGAATTGAGGTGCTCTGACCTTTCAAGCTGTCACTCTGCTTTCTGCTTCTTCTGCCAGCCCCCAAGGCACTGCGCCACCACAAAGCCAGTCCCCAGCTGGCATACGGCAACAGCCAACCCTCTGCAGACTGACGCCCAATATGGGAAGAATCTCGTGCGCAGCTTTGGCTGTTCACTCTTCATCCTCCATTTTGAACCTTTAATTAACAAAAAACCTCCCACAGGCAATTCAAGACTATCATTCACTAGTGCTGGGAAGATAACGTCAGTTTTTAGAGTGGTCTGTATGGCTCAAAGAGCTCCTCAAACGAGCTGTGCTTTTTTTCCTTGTCACCTTGATTCCTTTTGTTCAGTAGCCTCAGCATCCCAGAATGCTGGGCTGCCCTGGAAGCACCCTTGCCTTCTCTGGAAATGCAGTGTCCAGAAGTCTTTCCAGCTAGCCCCTCAGCTAGCTGAGGCTTCATTATCCAAAATTTAACATCACTTTTGGGCACTCTACTTGCTCCATACGTATTCCAGTCACTTAGGGAGCCAACCCCTGTAGTCTGAGTGGCTGCCATGCTACTGACAGCTGCCCAGAACAGCCTTTCCCCTTGCACACTGCAGAACAAGCTGCTCTGTTAAGAACACACCAAGGAACCATTTCTGCAACATGTTAGACTCCCTTTGACAAGCCTGTGACGGGTGCGCGTCACCTCCCCAGACCATTCAGCCAGGTTTTGCTGAGGACGGTTCCAACTCCAGCCTGTCCATTTCCCTCCCGTCCATGCGGGGAGCAACGCACATCTCTGCACCTGTTCATAGAACACGGGGCAAGGTCTTCTTCCACCCAGGGGTTACCCTCCGCAGAATTTTTTGTGCCCAGACAGAGGGTGACTGCTTCTTCACCACCAGCACCATCAGCTCCCTTTTTTTTCCCCAGTTTGCGGTGAAACCCCAATACTCAGTTGAAGGGAAGAGCCCCAGGCAGATGCTCCGGTGCTCACCCTGGTGCCCCAGCATCTGTTCCATGCGCACCTGAGTGCCACGCACGCCGCCGGGTACTCACATCATCTTGACTCCTTCCCTGTCCATGTGAATAATCTCTGCCAACACCGCGCTCATGTCAAGGTTTTTGGTCATTTCTTCTAGAGCATTTTCAGGAATCATATCTATGAAAAAAAAAAAAGTTAGAGCTGAACAACCGCAATTCCTTTCCACCCAAAGAAAAGCAATAAAACCCCAGAGGCGTAGGGTGTTAAGCTCCAGTTCCACTCAGAGCAGGCGGG